TTGCAACAATGATCTATATGGTCCCAGTTTATGTCAATAACGTCACAAGGAGTAGAGCAGATTTCAGGCTGGTTGGCTTCCTGCTGATCACCTTCCTTTGTGTCCTGACTGCCTGTGCCCACAGGAGCGGTTGAACTCTAACCTGTGGTTCAGTGCTTTACCATCATGCCTGTGTTCTGACAGATCTCCCCAGATGATGACGCAGTGGTGGCCTTGCTGTGTGAGTGGGCTGTGAGCTGTAAGCGCTCCGGCCGCCACAGGGCTATGGTTGTGGCTAAACTGCTGGAAAAGCGGCAAGCGGAGATAGAGGCCGAGGTGAGTCCTTGTCCCTGATGGACCCTGGAAGTCTTTGAACAGCAGCTAATAGTTGGAAAGAGAACAGTAGTTACTGGGTTGGTCGCTGGGGTTAAAGCAAGGGTGACCTTCTCCAAAGAAGAGCTCTCCCATAACTGTGTAGTGAGGTGGTGTCTCCAGAACTGATGGGCGGAAGCCTGCTAGCTGAGTACTGGATGCCAAAGGCCCCTTGGTGCTAGTGCCTTTGGCATGAACATTTACTTTGACCCATAGTAGGCCAGAGACCTCCCCACTGTATGGGACTACTCTGTGTGTCTCTCGGGTTCTCTGGAGCACAGATACAGAAGCACTAGGTCTCCTCAGAGGCTGTGCATAGTGGATTATGGGAAGGTTTCGGGGACTGGCTTTCTCCTATGGGGGGAGGTTCTCTCTACAAAGACAATGTCTGTCTTTGGGAGTGGGGGACACTGAGTTTCTCCTCCTGGCAGCAGCCTGTACTCCTGTCTCTCTCTCCAGAGATGTGGGGACTCTGAAGTTGTGGATGAGAAAGGCTCCATCTCCTCAGGTTCCCTCTCAGCAGCCAGCACGCCTGTCTTCCAGGACGTCCTCATGCAGTTCCTCGACACTCAGGCTCCTGTGCTAAGTACGTAACGAGAACTCGCTAATGTCCAGCCTTCCCTCTTCCTTGAGCCCGGGACACACCCAACAGTCTCACTTGGACTCTGGAGAGGAGGGGATGCAGCCCGGAGGGCAAGACATTGGGAAGGGATGAGGAAATGTAACTGCTGCTGAGACCAGCTGGAGAGGAGCCCAAGCATTTAGTTGCTGCCTCTGCCAGCTGTGTGCTCTGGCCTTGATCCCCACTGCGGTTTCCTAGCCCTGCCTTGAATCCTGCCGGGTGGTTGAGGGGCCTCTAGAAAACTCTTCCTCGAGCCCTGCCAAAGGACATCCCTGGGTTAGATATCGGGCAGGTGGCCAGTGTTGCTCAGAGCAGTGCTGGAGGGAGGACTCGGGCAGCGCTACCTGCTCCTTCATGTGCTGTTGCTGTGCCTCCAGCGGACCCAGCGAATGAAAGTGAGAAGGTGGAGTTCTTCAACCTGGTGCTGCTGTTCTGTGAGCTGATCCGGCATGACGTCTTCTCTCACAACATCTATATGTGCACACTCATCTCCCGGGGCGACCTGGCCATGGACTCGCATGGGCCCCGCCCTCCCTCGCCCTTCGATGACCCCGCCGAGGAGCATGACCGAAAGGAGGGGATGGGCAACAGTGGCATCAAGCTGGAGGTAAGGAGCACCAGCTCTCATGGCCCCTTCCCAAGTGCTCCTTCCTGATTGTCCTTACGTCCCGGACTCATCCCCTGCAAAGTACCTGCACTTGCCACCTGCCTCCTCCCTCCCCCAAGGCTAATCCTATAAAACTTCAGCCTGAAGGTGAAGGGTTAAATTCTGAGCTGCTGAAAGGGGCCTGTGGCATGGAAAAGGCTCTCGAGCCATGATTCTATCGCTCATGCCGTGCAGCCCAGCTCTAATAAGATAGCATGTAATAAGCTACTAGGATTTGAAAACCAAAGGGGCATTAACAGTGGCTGGCACAGGCACTGCTAGAGGGGGGCTCATTCTGCCTGGGTTGTAGGCTGGACAATGCCGTGGGGAAACTCTGAGGTGTACGCGTTTCCTAGTGCAGTGTGGAGAATTAACAGCTGCCCCTTGTTTATGGCCCCAGGACACCGGCCTCTCGGAGTCCATGGATATTGATCATAGCTCCAGCGTGCTGTTTGATGACATGGAGAAGACTGATTTCTCGGTACGTTCCTGTTTTCCTCTCCTACCTGGTGCTCGGTGAGTAGCTCAGGTGTGCTTTTCTGGGCACCTTGCCAATGTGGAGGTGCATCAACTTGCTGCTGTGTGCCTTCTGTCCTCTATGGAATTGAAGGGCCTGGCCAAAAGGGCTCGTGTCTTGTGGCTGGTTGGGGCGGTATGGTAGACACAACTTGCCTGTGAATGCTCTTGAGTCGAGTGGTACAGAGCATGTAGGCAGGCTAGGATCCAGCTGTGTAACCAGGTGTGCCATTCCATGAATTTCCTCCTTTGTAGGGTTGACACCACCCCAGGAGCTGCTTGTCACTTGGAATGGTGAGGGAGCAGGAGGTGAGAGGGACATTACTGAGAGGCAGTGCAGGGTATGGAGGGTGAAAGTGGGGAAAGGATGGTGACATTGAGACTCTTGCTTACCTGGGAGAAGAGATGTGGTCCAGTGACTCTGCAGCCTTGGGCAAGTCACCTGACCTCTCTGCCTTAGTTTGTGTGTTTCTTAGCTTGTTGTGGGAGTCACTCATTCATGTTTGCAGAGCACTTCGAGTGAAGATGCGCAGTAAGAGCTAAGAATGATCGCTGTTGAAACCGCCGGGAAATTTCTTTTTTCCAGCCATTTGTATCTTTCAAGATGTGTGGTGGACACCTGTGGTGTCTGGGGCTGCACTGCCCCCCAGGGGGCCTTTTGCCTTTATCTTGGCTCTTGTGGAGCGTTGTCATCAGAATCATAGCCTCTAATTCCTAACTTTCTGTTGCTTGTTCTCAGTCCAAGGTGTACCAGGAAGCTGTACTCATGTGCAGATTGGGGAGGGGGATCTGGTACCTGGGCTGGGAGCAGTGTCCTGAGGGGTGGGTGCTGTCCCCATGCTTTGCCCTCCTTATCAGCTGTGGGCTGGAATAGCCTTGTGAGCTGCTTTCAGTACCATTGATGTGTGGCCACGTACCACAGCAATCTTGTCTTCTCTCCCTAGATGTTCTCTCCTCCAATGCACTGTGAGTCTAAGGCCAGCCCTTCCCCTGAGAAACCAGACCCTGAGAAGGAAGCAAAGCCTCTGCTAAAGGAAAAGGCTGCAGAAGGAACACTAGCATCCCTGTACGACCAGCCCCGGCACATCCAGTATGCCACGCACTTTCCTATCCCTCAGGTATGAGAACTGTGCCTACCTTCCCCTACCCCTCTCACCCAGGTATCAGACCTGGGCTCACGCCACCCTCCCATCATGAGACCTGCACAGTTCCTTGCTGCTGCTCCACCCAAGCATGGGACGCCTGACGCCTTGCAGCTTGAGCACTGAAAGGGAAAGGAGCATGGTCATGCGTGCCTTGAATGCTGGGGGCAGTTTGTCTTTGAGTGGGTGCCTGGGGTGGCTTTTTGCTTCTCCATTCCCCAGGGTCATCTCCCAGCTGCACCTTCCCTCTCCTCTTAGAGACCCTTGTGTGATGAGATGATTGGCATCTAGCCTGAAAGCAGCTAATGCGGTTGTCTCCCTTTGGCTCCCAGGAAGAGTCATGCAGTCATGAATGTAACCAGCGGCTGGTGGTTCTGTTTGGGGTTGGGAAACAGCGAGATGATGCCCGACATACCATCAAGAAGATAACCAAAGACATTCTGAAGGTGTTAAACAGGAAGAGCACAGCAGAGACAGGTTAGTGCAGCCTGGGCCCGCCCTGCCCCAGGAAGGTGTTCCTTTCCAGCTGGTTGGGTCCCTTGGGAGACCTGCACACAGGGGCAACTGAGTGGGCAAGGGAAGCAGTGACACTGACTAGACACAGTGTGCTGTCACACAGGAAACCCGATGAAAAATGTTAACTAGGACAGCTGCACTGAAGCCAATGGAACAACATTGATTTACACCAGGTGGAGATTTGGTCTGTTCCACTTTTCTGTAATCTCTGTCAGTCTAGGGCTTCTTAGAGGTGCCTTGTGACAACAGCAGACACCAGTGTTTTTAAGTTGAGGATGCTCTTTTAAAGGAGAGATGAGATGCTCTTGAAACCAAGCTGAGGGATTTTGAGGCTGAGTCCCGGTGAGAGTGGCTAGTCTCCCAAGGGAAGCCCCTACATTGGGGCAGTTAGACTGCGACTGGTCAGAGCCCTGGAGAGAATAGCTAACTCATTTGGGATGGATTAGATACTTCACCATCCCTGACCATCACTCTTAACTAGGGATTCCCATGTCTCGGAGTTTAATTTGATGCCTTCTAGAGCAGGCCTTACAGTTTATGAGTTGGCCCAAGACCCTTTGCCCTAATGGGGGGAACGTGAGGCTCCCTGGTTCATAGTCATAGATTCCAAGGCCGGAATGAACCACTGTGATCATGTAGTCTGACTTCCTGTGTAACAGGCCATGGAACTGCCCCAAAAGAATTCCTAGAGCAGAGCTTTTAGAAAAACATGCGATCTTGATTTAAAAATTACCCGTGATGGAGAATCCACCGTGACTCTTGGTAAATTGTTCCAGTGGTTATTCTGCCTGCAGTTGGGTGGACCCGTGCTCCCTGCTGAGGAATTGGAAGATGCATGTGGCTGTCTGTAGGGTGGCTCTGTGCCCCAAAGAAGGTAGTCTGGTAATGGCTCCCTGTATTTCTTGCTTTTGGCAGGTGGAGAGGAAGGCCAGAAGAGGAAGAGGAGCAAGCCAGAGGCATTCCCAACAGCTGAGGATATCTTTGCTAAATTCCAGCACCTTTCTCACTTTGATCAGCACCAGGTCACCTCTCAGGTATGGGGTTCCGGAATGAGAAGTCTCCAATCTGGGCCCTGGCTGTATGTGCCCCACTGCAGCATGGAAAGCAGCCTCCAGAGGAGACAGTGGGAGAGTAATTTGGATCTGACAAGTGGAGCTTTGCAAGGGGCTGATACCCCCTTGTGCCTCTCTCTCTGCCTGCAGGTATCTCGCAATGTCTTGGAACAGATCACCAGCTTTGCCTTAGGGATGTCATACCATCTGCCTCTGGTGCAGCACGTGCAGTTCATCTTTGACCTGATGGAGTATTCGCTCAACATCAGTGGTCTCATTGACTTTGCTATCCAGGTGAGCCCTGGGGTCTGATGTGCTTCACCGGAGTGGGGTTTATCTACATTAAATCCAGACTAAGTGTGTTTCTGAAGGATCTGCTCTTGCTCAACCACAGGTTATTGGGTTGGATGTAGGAATCTCTGAGTGAGGGTCTCTGGCCTGGGTCTTGCTGGATGATCATAATGGTGTTTTCTGGCCTTAGACTCTCTGGTGTTCCATGGCGGGAGTGGCCATGAGGTATGCTTGTGTGTGGCACAAAGCTGTAGTCCTCCTCTGGGGCTCTGGTTTTGAGGGTCATTTTTCCAAAGGTTTCAGGATTGTTTGGAATGGACCTTGCTACTGTTCTTGTCCCTGAGCTGCAGTGATGCCTTTCTTGAGCGAGAGCGTTTTTTTTTTTTTTCATGGCAGCCCTTCCAACAACAAGGGTGGTTTCCTCCCTCAGAAGGTCCTGCCACCGTGCAATACAAGCTGTGTTAGTGGTTGTGGCAGACTAGGCCAGATGATATTTTAGAAAATTTGCTACAGTTGGAGGCATAACTGAAACTGTTACACTCCAGTTAGTGGATGAGCTAAGTGGGATTTTGAACAGGTCCTGGTAGTGAAAGGTCAGAGCTATATCTAGGAAGCCAGCCTGCCCACACTTGTGTCCAACCGGCAGGCTTCTTCTGGTAGGCACCCCAATGCTGGCAGACCCCCTGAACTGACTGGGGCCTGGATGGCAGGCTTCGCCTGGATTTCAGGCTCCTGAATGCATTGGTGCCTAGCCAGCAGGCTCCCTCTGACTGGTGCCCCAACGACAGGGTTTGTAGCAGTGGAGTTGTCTGGATTGTTGAAGGGTTTTTATGTCATTGGGTGCAGTTGCTGAACGAGCTGAGCGTGGTGGAAGCAGAGCTGCTGTTGAAATCTTCCGACCTAGTTGGCAGCTACACCACCAGCCTGTGCCTGTGCATCGTGGCTGTGCTGCGGCACTACCACTCCTGCCTTATCCTGAACCAAGACCAGATGGCCCAGGTCTTCGAAGGGTAAGGGAGCCTTGTGCCCCTCTTGGGCAGGGGAAGCCTCATCTCTGGGCTTTGTCCCAGGTGGGTTGGGGGGACAGGGGTCTGTCCTCCTAGGAGGTGTTGTCTCTGTGCCTGGAGCTTTGTCCCATGGAGGGGTGGGCGTGGGGAGGGATCTGTTCTCCGAGGGCATTGTCTCCATGTCTGGGGCTCTACCCTCAAGTGGGTGGATGCTGCCTGTGTCTGATGCCATGCTCCTTCAGGTTTCCTTTCAAGCTGCTGCAGCATTTCTTGTCTCTTTACAGTCTGTGTGGGGTGGTGAAACATGGCATGAACCGCTCCGATGGCTCCTCAGCAGAGCGCTGTATCCTGGCCTACCTCTACGACCTATACACCTCCTGCAGTCACCTCAAGAGTAAATTTGGGGAGCTCTTTAGGTGAGTTTGAGGCAGGTTGGAGGCAATGGGCACTGCCCTCAGAAGGACCATGGCCTCAGCTTTGCTTGTGATCTTGCACACACTGTTCCCCACCAGCTAGTGTTCTTTCCTCATGGACATACGGTGGGGGTTCCCTGCCTCAGGTCTAGCTGAGCACACAGGGAGAATGGTAGTTGCCTGGGGCCATCTCTGTTACTGCGGTGCCTGCAGGCTGAGCTGCTGACTGGTGAGCACTTCCAGGAGCTGCACTGAGAGCAAGAGGAAGTGGCAGCCCCAAGCTAGGTCACTGAACCCCCTCTGGTATTTTCCAGGGGCTTCCCCAACAAGGAACAGGCATGGCTCTTCATGGAGGAACTTCTTTGAATGAGCCCCTTAAGCCTTCATGTAAAAGCTGGAGCTCTCTGCACTGCAGAGGATGCAGGGGAGGTCTGGGAGAGGGAGCAGAAGGCTCTTACCCTGGGCCTCGGCATTGCTTGTGAAAGGCAGTGGGAAGCATGTTTGCAGAAGTGCCTAACCTCCCCTTCCTGTCCCTGCCAGTGACTTCTGCTCCAAGGTGAAGAACACAATCTACTGCAATGTGGAGCCCTCTGATTCTAACATGCTGTGGGAGCCCGAGTTCATGATCGACACCATCGAGAATCCATCCGCACACAACTTCACCTACACTAACTTGGGCAAGAGCCTCAACGACAACCCGGCCAACCGCTACAGCTTTGTGTGCAATGCACTCATGCACGTGTGTGTGGGACATCATGACCCAGACCGGTGAGGCGCAGGGCTGGGGCTATTGAGACCCCCTCTCAGGTGGCTCCACTTGTGTAGGGAGAAGGAGTGTCTGTGCTCCTCGAGGGGGCAGCAAGATACAATCTGAGGATGAGGGAACCAGTAGCCACTTGTCATGTGTCCACAGGGCATACTATAACTCTGACATTCATACAGCCTCTTTGGGAGGTTACCCCTTTAGTCCTAGGCCTCCACTACCTGCTACCCTGAGCCTGGGTTACTGGCTTCAGCACACGTTTCTCATCAGGGCTCCTCTATCGGGTCCAAATTAGTTTAGGCCCCTGTTGGAGATATGCTGCTCTCAGGAGCCACACAACCATCAGATGTTTTGCAGAGACACAGAACAAGCCAGCACATATTAGTCAGCTGGAATATGGTATTTTAGGGTCCTTTGGTTAAAGTGGAAAAGCCAACTTATACGCTTGTCCATGCTGGCAGCATTACCTGCCTCTCTGGCCTGGAAGTGTCTAGGATTCCAGTCTCTCCTCTGCACTGCGCAGCAGAGGTCTTAGCGCTGTATGCTGATACCTCCGTTCTTTGTTTCAAGTTGCTGTTATGCATGTTCCATACGTTCTGCTTCCCTTGGCTGCTAGTTCTTAAAAGTTAATATCCAGTTGTTGGTCTTCCATTGTGCCTGTCTGATGCAACTCCATTTGTATGTTAATGGTCCTTCAGAGTTTATTCAGACTGTCACAACAGTTCTGGAATTAACTGCACCTCTGACTCTTTGAGTATGAGGGGGTAGCCGTGTTAGTCTGTATCAACAAATATGACAAGGAGTCCGGTTTTGCCCAAATAAATCTGTTAGTCTTTCAGGTGCCACTGGACTCCTTGTTGTTTTTGACTCTTTGAGGGCACGCCCAGTTCGGTCTCGGGCCTCTAGCCATCACTTTTCTTGGACGGGAACCTGCGATCCACTTCTTCCAGACTGTGGACTTAGACTGCAAGCTCCTGCAATTCACTGTGATTATCTCAGCAGATCTGACTTTAGTTCAGCACCTGCAGCCCTGTTCTCTCAGGGGCAGTGACAGGTTTAACCAGTAACCAGGCAGCTTTCATAAAGCAAAGTACTATTTATCTTTAAAAACAACAAACAGCCTATATACACATCTGGCTCACCAGCTGTCACCCATTTGCCACCTGGAGACCCTGACAGGATTAAAGTACTTCAGGCCCTCTGCAGGGCCTATCTCTCTTGGTCACAGTTTTGGGTCAGTTCTTGTATCAAGCGTAAGTGATCTCTCTCTAGGTCATGGCAGTCACTTTATACAGACAATTTCTTTGTCAGCTAGGCCTATTGAACCAGGTCAGACCAGTCCGTGTTATTTTCCAGGGGTGAAACTTCCACAAACTTTTTACCTGCAGTAAGGATTTGTGTAAATAACTGTTAATAACTGCCCTCTCTACCAAGTGACTTTAGTTAATGCAGGAAACCCTTTAGCTTCCCTATTGACTTTAGTGAGGCTTTTGATACTGTCTCACACGATCTTCTCACAAACAAACTAGGTAAATATAGTCTAGATGAACCTAAAGGTGGATGCACAACTGGTTGGAAAACTATTCCCAGAGAGTAGTTATCAGTGGTTCATAGTCAAGCTGGAAGAGCATATCAAGTGAGGCCCCACAATGATCCGTTGTGGTTCTGGCTCTATTCAATATCTTCATAAATTATTTGGATAATGGTGTAGAGAGCACACTTATAAAGTTTAAGCTTTCGTGGGTGAATACCCACTGCGTCTGACGAAATGGGTATTCACCCACGAAAGCTTATGCTCCAATAGGTCTGTTAGTCTATAAGGTGCCACAGGACTCTTTGTCGCTTTTTACAGATCCAGACTAACACGACTATCCCTCTGATACTTATAAAGTTTATGGATAATACCAAGCTGGGTGGTGGGTATGGCTTCCAAGTGCTTTAAAGGACAGGATTAGAATTCAAAATGAGCTTGACAAATTGGAGAAATGATCAGAAATAGATAGGATGAAATTAAATAAGGACAAATGCAAAGTACTGCACTTGTGGCTCTCAAACTAAATATGAGTCAACAGTGTAATACTGTTGCAACAAAACCAAACATCATTTTGGGATGTATTAGCAGGCATGTTGTAAGCCAGACACGAGAAGTAATTCTTCCACTCTACTCAGCACTGATAAGGCCTCCACTGGAGTGTTGTATCCAGTTCTGGGCACCACACTTGGTTGGGGAAAGATGTGGGCAAATTGGAGAAAGTCCAGAGGAGAGCAACCAAGATGTTTAAAAGTCTGGAAAATGGCCTGCCTCCTCCCTCCCCCAAGGCTAATCCAACCGGGTTATTTGAGCTTCTTAACTCCTTACAGGTAAAGGAGGGATGTTATGCTACCCTTAGCTGTATGTTTATGACACGGCCTATGAGGAAAGATTGAAAACAATTGGATTTGTTTAGTTTAGAGAAGAGAAGACTGAGAAGGGGGGACATAAGTCTTCAAGTATGTCAAAAGTGATTATAAAGAGGAGGGTGGTAAATTGTTCTCAACCACTGAGGACAGGGCAAGATATAATGGGCTTAAATTGAGACAAGGGAGATTTAGGTTAGTCATTAGGAAAAACTTTCCTAACTAAAGGTGGTTAAGCACTGGAACAAATTGCCTAGGGAGGTTGTGGAATCTCCATTAATAAAGGTTTTTAAGAGCCGCTTAGACAAACACCTGCCAGGAATGGTCTAAATAATACTCGATCCTGCCTTAGTGCTGGGGCTGGACTAGATGACCTGTCCTAGAAATATAGGACTGGAAGGGACAGATCATCTAGTCCAGTCCCACATTTCTATGATTCTATGACTGAGTCAGGAATTCAAGAACTAACCAGCCCATAAAGCTATATACAACATTAATAAAGTTGATGCAATAGTGATTGAATATTCTAGGTGTCCATAGAATCTGTCACATCTCAGTAAAAGAGTCTGAATATTCCATGTTTCCAAACCGTCATATCTGTCACACACACCAACCCAGTCTTATCTGGATGACCAGCACTTATCTCTTAATTTCTCCTCTGGGACAGGGGAATAACTCCTTCAGTCGTAGTAGATCACAATACAAAGTGAATGGCTAAACTGAGTCACACATTTTTCCTAATAATACAGAAATAAAATGCAACCTTTTAAGAGTTTCCCTAACCTGCTTGTTTAATGCTCCAGCAAAGGATCTACATTTTAAATAGACCAACAAATTACGTTATTTTTCATTGTCAGCAGCTACACTTTGTATTGCACGTTACTAGAGAAATGTGACCCCTTCTCCTATGGAGTTATGGGATAGTAAAATACAGACTTTTTTTATCACATAAGTACACAAGAGAAGCACCCAAAAAACAATAGGTATTTTGAAATTTGGTCACCCTTTGTAGCGTACTCAGAGGAGGAGGGCTCTTCAGATATCGAGCCAGGATCTTTAGCCAGAATAAGTAATGTACAATGTAGTATGTTAATGTTTTATTGTAATTTTGCCTTAATAAAAAGTTTAAAAAGAAAATAATGATACAGCAATTCCCCCCCTTCTCCAAAGCCTGGCTCTGCTTTAGGAATGAGGGGAAGGGCTAGGCTGTTGAGTGCTGTTCGTGACCGCATGGCTCCTCTCTACAGAGTCAATGACATAGCTATCCTATGTGCTGAGCTGACTGGTTACTGCAAGTCCCTGAGTGCCGAGTGGCTGGGCGTGCTCAAGGCTTTGTGCTGCTCCTCCAACAACGGGACTTGTGGCTTCAACGACCTCCTCTGCAATGTTGACGTAAGTGCAAAAGCTTAAATAACAGGGCTGAGGAGAGGGGGGTGCTTTGGAGGGGGCAGGGCGGAGATGGAACGGGACATGGGGAGTGTCCCCAAGGGGCTGGAGATGGGAATGGCAGAGGGAGAGGGATGTCATGGGCGGGAGATGGAGAACTGTCTTTTGGTATTGGAGCTGCCCTTATGTAGGGTTTTGCTGGGTTGGTCATGGAGTTGCTGGGCTTGCCCTTCCCCCTGCTCCCAGTCAGGCCCATATGGTGTTAACTGGAGGGGGTGAAGCAGAGACTGACATGGTCACTGGCTGCTCTTCTGTCTCCCAGGTGAGCGACTTATCCTTCCATGACTCCTTGGCCACCTTTGTTGCCATTCTCATTGCCCGTCAGTGCTTGCTGTTGGAGGACCTGATTCGCTGTGCAGCCATCCCCTCACTCCTCAATGCTGGTGAGTGAGTCCCTTCCAGAGACACTGTGCTGCTCACGGTGCCCTCCAGCGGTCTGCCTGCAATGCAGTGCCTGGCTCAAAGGGTCAAGTACCCAGCAGTGGGACTCTGGGGCCCTGAAGCCCCTGCGCACAGTAATGTTGCACATAATCCCTGGCCATGGAATATGTTCAGCGTCCACCTTTTAAGAATCGGACCTTTGATTTAAAGAAAATAACTGGCTCTTATGTTTGGGAAGGAAACCCTGAACAGGTCATCTGAGTGTAACCCTTCTTCCAGATGATGTCATGGTAGCCTCCTGCACTGAGGATACCTCTCTTGGGGAAGGAACCCCAGTTATTAGGAGGAAGCAGTTAATAGTAATGGGGGATTCGATCATTAGAAATATAGATAGTTGGTACTCCTGGGGGAATTCTGTGCCAAAAAATTCTGCGCG